GCAAAATTTCGTGAAGATTGGTCCATAACTGTGGCCTGCATCGTGTTTACAAATTATAATGGACGGACGGACACACATGTCTAGATCGACTCAGCTAGTCGAGATATGCCGATCGGTATAATTAAAGGTGGGTCTAGGACCAATATTTCGCGGTGTTACAAACTCTTGGGGCTGCACAAAGCTATAACACCCTGACAAAATAGTTGTGTAGGGTATAAAAAGGAAAGGAAAACAAGGAACTCTGGTGTATTCACATTATGGTGTAGATGGCAGCAATGAGAAGTGATCGTGTTCTCTATAGAAGAAATCTTAGGATAGAAAAGGTTTGTTATACAAAACCGTTCTGATTGATAATGAATGTATTCATACGACAAGGTTATTTTAAGGGTCACCAAAAGGTCATGTTATGAAATACTACTGGATCACAAAAGGGCTCTTCTTATTAGAACGGACAGAGGTGCTCTATGTCTCTTAATAGAAGATCGAAATATTTTCTAATATATGATCGATATAGCTTCCAGTAGAGGCCCAGAAGTAGTCTTCTAAATGACCTTCTCATAGAAGAGTAATTCATATTTTCACGGAAGACTAGATAATATTTTCATAGAAGACCAGGAGATCTTCCTAAAGAAGACTAAGAGCTCTACTTAGTGGTCTTCTCGTAACTGAAATTTTCAAATATTTCATAGGAGGCAAATTGGCATTTTCATAGAGTGCCATTTGAAGTTCTCATAGGAAACATTGAAGTCTCTAAATATACAAGCAATCTTATCCATAAAAGACCAAAGGGTTATTTACATCGATAAACTATACGTCTTGCCACATAGGCTTTACGTGCCTTTTAGAATTTTCTGATAAGATATCAATATTACTTCTGATAGAATATCAATGGAACTTTCGGGGTCTTCAGAAAAACCATCAAGCCTTCTTTTAAACCCACATCTGCTCTTTTCGGTCTAAATCATTTCACACCAATTCCAACACTTAAAAAACGTTAAATTTCTGCCCATTCGTTTTTCCATTCTACATTATCTGACTGTGTAATTTAATTTCCTTTAATTAACTAAATGTCAACATAAAATACTGGCTGTTGACAACAATAGTAATTACAACAAATTCAACATTTGATATCGCAAATGGAAACTTTGCAACAAAACATGACTAACAAACCAGCTATGTTCACACTTTTCCTCACCAAACCTACCTCACTGCAATAGAACGACAAATGTTGAGAAAAAAGTTATTCACTTGGAAAAAAAAATACAAAATGAAATGGGTCTGATAAAGCCTCCTTAAATACTAAAAAATGTGTATTTCAATGTCTTTGTGACTATAATTTAAGTCTTAAAACTCATCAGACATGGTTATAAGAAGAAGGAAAAAACCGCAAACTAACACAAATAGTAAACCCATATCACATGCTTCGTATATGCTTTAAGAATTGTCCTATGTTTTCTTAGCATCCATTGCTGCCGAACCACTAACTCTCGCCTTTTAAAATGTTCTCAGTTAGCAAAGAGAGTTTGACTGCATTTGTTCAAGTGCAGTTAATTATAATTAAGCCAAGTTAACTTTACCACTTCAGTCTGAGTTTTAGCTACTTTTGCTGCCTAACAAACTATGTGCGTTTAATATTCACTTATATGACTTCCATTGGTTTTGTATGGGTATTTTCATACACATAATATACGTATATTGTAGAGGTGATTTTAGGTTGTCTAGTATTTAACATCACATATTTGATATTAGTTAGTTTTTATATAAGAATACTCCGATTCCAAGGGACGAATAATGTATGAGAGCTATCACGAATTTAATTTCAATTAAAAAAGTTTGTTTTTGGCTTTATTTATTTTATTTATTTTATCTTTATTATTAACAATATCCTGAGAAGATCGTATCTTTATGGAAGGAAGATCGTCTCTTTATGGAAAATATTCTATCCGGAAGATACCTTCTATAAGGTCTTTGAACCAGTAAGAACCTTTAGCAGGCCTTCGATGTTAAAAATATATGCCGTTTGTTTTTTAATGCTTTCAAAAGTTATTCCAGTTTTGGAGGGCTAGTAGAAGGTTTTCTATTCACACACACAAAGTCTATCTAGAGAAAATCTTGTATCTATAGAAAGTTTAAAACGACATTTTTTCCTGGAAGTTCTGTAAGACAACGGTAGAAGATCTACTATTTATGGAAAAATACTATATTCATAATATACCTTCAGAATAGCTTCGACCTATAGACGACATATGGAATAACAATGATCTATAGAAGTCATGTATAGGGTCTAATATTCATAAAAATCATCCAGATGGAATTTTCTATAAATGAAGGAGTTGCAAAAGTTCCTCCGCGCCTAAAAGACATGTAGATGTTGATAGCGTCTTAGCATATGGGTTGTAGACGATATTTCTTATATTAAATAGCATATGCAGTGATAATATCTTAAAATAGTCTCTATACTGGAGGGCATATCAAAAAGGATCTTTAGAGGTAATTTTTTTAGAAAGCCTCTTAGAAAAGCTGTCTATATACTGGAGGGCATATCAAAAAGGATCTTTAGAGGTAATTTTTTTAGAAAGCCTCTTAGAAAAGCTGTCTAAGTTTTCAATTCAACGGGGACTTTATTATTAATATGTGGTCCACCCATAGGAGTATTGCCTTGGGGTCTTTATATATACGGGCTGTAGAAAGCCCAATATCCGCAATAGAGCTATAGATGTAATATTTTTCTTTCATAGATTTATTGGTATACCGTTCCAGAAAATCGTTATATTTATCGAGGTCTTCTAGAATATATTATACAAATCGGAGACTTGTAGAAAGTGGTCCACCCTTAGGAGAACATATATGAGGTATTCTTTTTACAGAAAACCTAAAAGGCCTTCACATATGACCTACACAAACATATACCTTTGTAGAAGACTTTAAGAAGCCCTCGATAAGGTTCTTTCACGTGGTATCTCAAAATACTTAATTATGTTGGAGGACTGTAAAGGTCATACATCTATAGAATGCACTCGGAATGTTGGACATTTATAGAAGCTTATTAGTAGACAATTTAGAATACCTGGGTGTTATACTTTCTAGAAAAAATCTGTAATATCAAGGTCTTCCATTTATGGAAGAAGTAGGTTTCATTTATGGAAGGTATGCGGAAAGGTCCACATCTGTCACGTCGTTTATAAAGAATATCCAAAACAGTTCCCTATGTTGGAGGACAGTAGACAGTCATTTGTCTATAAAAGACGCCCGGAAGGTTGGATATCTGTAAAAGCTCATTAGAAGACGTTTCATGCTCAGAATACCATTGGTTGTTCTACTTTCTATAGAAAACCTGTTGATGTTCTATAGAAGATCTTCCATTTATAGAAGATGGAAGCCCACATTTATGGAAGATATCGCATATATAGAAGCTATGTAGACGATTTTCGTTCATTTTTGTTAGACCTTTGGATATTTTTTTGTTGTTTAAAAATACGGGACATTTTTCCTTGGGGTATAGCTCCGCAGCCAATAAAAATATAACAGTGACTGTGTTGGAGAAATGTAGTTCGACGCTCTAAATATATTTCTCGGGTTACTGTTTTTCTATATATGCATTTTTTAAGTATTGGCCCATATTTACAACAATTATATTCCACCACAAATTTTCCACTCGGTAAATACAAGTTTTCCGAGACTACTCATCCCGGCACAAAAAAACATCTTAACAAAGGCGGAAAGTCAACCATATGGCATCACACCTCAGTACAAATAAAAAGTTCCTATCCTTTTTATCCTCTTTCAAATCCTGTTTATATCCTGTTTCTACAAAGTGAACAAACGTACAAATACCAACATACATACCCATATGGCTAGGAAGTAATAATGTAAAGTGTGAGTGAGCGTAAGACCAAGTTAGCTGTGGCTCAGCCACCACCCGGCATTGTGCCTGTGCCACGACAATTCCAAACAAAAGCCACGTGTTATGTGCGTGTGTGTGCGGCCCAGGTGAAATGTGGGTTTGTCTGATTGTTTATTTGGTTTTTGTTTTTTTTTCACTTTTCTGGAGGAGTTGATTTAAAGTTGTTGACTTTTTCCGCTACGTTTACATAACGTTTAAATAATTTACTGCAAATGCGGTTCAGTTTTATCCGGTCTATATTGTTGTCGTTAGGGAGTGTTGGAGTGTGGTTGGGTGTATTGGCTTGTGTGTGGTTTAGAAGTTCCTCTTTTAGGTGTGAATCTGGGGGGCATTGTTTGTGACTTTCATGTGGAAAAATTGCTTTGATGGAGTTAAATAAGAATTAATGGTCTTGGAATTCCTTTGGTAGGAGCATGCTTTCCTTTTATTCAAATTTTGACAGCGAATTAAACTAAGCGAATATAAATTAAATATTTTATTATTATTTAATGAGTGCTTTAAACTTTGTTAATAAAAACTAATTATAAATTTTTCTGAAAAATACTTTATAATCAATCCTAGACTTAGCCATGACCAAATTTGTTCTATAAAAAATATGCAGGTTATGTACGACGTTTTCTATTTATTAAGCATTCCACAATAAAATATTTTTTATTGACATCCACTAACAAATATACAATAAAAAAATAATATTGAATATTGAAAATAAAAAAACCTTTTTAAAAATTACTTTTAAATATTTCAACGAACATTGAAACGAAAAAAAACGAACATTTGTCAAGGGATGTTGTTAACCTTTATGGCTGTCGTGGATTACGATAATGACATGCTCTTATGTTTCAACTCACATGGACCGGTTGAAACCAGAAGCATCATCCATTTATCCATATGTAGACAACTGTTGAATTTATCATGTCCTTACGCCATCCTACTCCGTTTTTGAAGAGAACAACAATTCGAAACCTTCGACCACATAAGCTACTTTGCCAAGACTTATCACATTTGCACGTGTTACCATCTTGACTGCAATTTCGCTTCTTTTTTTGTCAAAGTCATGAATTCACAGAGAGAGAATGTATTTTTTTGACAAGAGGATATGTCACGTGGTTGTTGGGTGACCATAATAACTGTAATGGTCTCTGATGATGATGATTATAATAACAGTGATGATGATGGTGGTGGAGGTGGTGACGGCTATGTCATTTTTTATATGTCAACAGAGGAATAAATGATGATTTCTGATGAACAGTGGTTAAAAGAGATACAAAGGCAGGGGTTTCGAAGGAGAAAGGTATTAAGTTCCACATAGAGGGAAGATTACCTATAACCCTACTCGGGATAGGAGATGTTGTACATAATACCTTAAATCTATAATTTATATGCCCTCTAAACATAAGTATTTATATAAATCCCCTAAAAATTTTCTATAGATTAAAGGCCTCTAGAAAACACTGTGGTTTTATAGTTGGAATCCAATAAATGGAAAATTGTCAAAATGGATTTACAAAAAATTTTAAGGATCCATCAAAGGAATAAACGATGATTTCAGTGGTTAAAATATGTACGAAGGAGTTGGTTTCGAAGGTAAAGGTATATGGTTCCATATAGGGAGAAGATCATGCATAAGGCTACTCGAGATAGGAGATCTTCTAATAAAACCTTGAATGGGCCATAAATATATAGAGGTCTTACTCCATAGTGAATCTGTATATGATATTTTATTATAGAAGATCTGCATGTAGTCTTATGTGCATAGAGCTCCTGCAAAATAAAATAGTTTTAGAGGACTTATGAAACCTAATTCATCGAGACCTGTAGGAAGTCATATTCACACATAATACAAATTTAAAAGTCCCCCACGTATGTTTCGAGTTCTATATACCCTGGAGAAAATAAAAAAGAAAACATTTATTCATCTAGCCCCTTTGAAAAGCTACAAATAATGCCAGAAGTATCTTTACATTTTTATATCTTTTAATATGTTTGTAACAGGCAAAAGGAAACGAGAGAGAGACATGACTCCTTTTGAGAATATGAATAGAATCACTTTTTAAATCGATATATGCATGTCCGTCCGTCCGTCTGTCTGTCACATTTATGATCCGAATTGGATGAAATTTGGCACAGTTCATTTGTTTGGCCCAAGGACGAACCCTATTGAAATTGGGAAAGATCGGTTCAGATTTAGATATAGCTCCCATATATATTTTCGTCCGATTTAGTGTGTATGGTGCACCAAAGTCCCTATATATCATTCGATTTGCAAGAAATTTGGCATAGCGTGTTGAACTAGCTCTAGAATGATGTGTGTTAAGTTTCCTGAAAATTTGTCCAGATTTTGATATAGCTCCCATATATATTTTCGTCCGATTTAATGTAAATGGTATCGTCCGATTTTACACAAATTTTTCACAACGTACTGGAGTTAGAAAAACCTAGAAGTTGGTTATAAATGCTTTACCAAGGTGGGTCCAATCGGCACAAAATTTTGCTCTACGTACTGAAGTTACTATAACATAACATGTGGCAATTTTCATAATTTTGTCCCTGATCCTTTAAAAATTCGACGTCTGTTAGGATTCATCTGTTGGATATAACGAAAGTGATGAAGGGTATCATATAGTCGGCCCCGTCCGACTTTACTACTTTCCTTACTGGTTGTTATTGAGGAACACGTATTAAAGTCACTTGTTGTCGTCTCATTGTCATAATATCAAAATATTTTATGTATGAAAAACAAACCAACCGACCAAGAAGCTATTCAACAGACAGTCCAACCATTCAATTGGCGTAGCAAAGTAGAACAAAAGAATTCAAACTTCAACTTTTCTCCACAGCCGTTCTGTGTACAATGAATGAAAATTATCTGCTTGATGTGTGATCACATGGACGTGTCCATAGGATATAATTGTGTGTGTGTCCGATTCTGTATGTATGCAGGACTATGCAACTGATGTGGATGTTGAAAGGAATATAAAAAACAACAACAGCGACGATGGCGATAAACTCCCAACCATTCAGATAGATGTCTATCCTTTTGCCTACACATCTATTCATTTGTTTATTTGGTTTTCCGGCTTTCAAGTGTGTTTGCGTTGTTATTTTTTCATTTCTATTTTCATTGATATCTATTATGGGAGTTTTTCAGACGAGACGACAATGTGTGTGTGTCGCATGCATGTGTATCTGTTGTTTTTTTTTTAGCTGTTTCTTTTATGTTTAGTATTATCCCTGTGTTTTTTTATGCTACAACAGAAAACATCATCAGCATTAGTCAGAGAAAATGCAAAAAAGAAAAAAAGGATGAATGATAAATTTTAGCAATGAAACAACATGAATGAGTTATTTTTTTAACATTTGCACAATGAAATGAAATTGCAGAACGAGGAGAATAAGAAGGCTGCCACTGCTTCATGTGTAGAAAATAGGTCCTTTGACATTTGATCGCTGTTATATGATAATAATATTGGGGGTTCTTATTTCTTTATTGGAATAAGGATAATGAAAGTTCATCACTTTATTTGTTTATGGGGACGGAATATATTTGTGTGTTGAAATATAAAAGGAAGTCACCAATTGAATTCTCAGCCAAAGTCAATATGAAAATATTTATCGAAGTCCACATATGACTCTTTAAAGAACGATGAGGTCGCAACATTCATAACTCTAGTATGTTTTTTATCGATCCATATTTGTTAATAGATAATAAGTAGATATTTTTGTAGATAATTTTATATATAGGCCATGTTTAATCACAGCCCTCATATAAATGTTAAGTGATGTGTTTTAACAGCAGAGGAATATTTACTATCCAAATTGGCGGGACTTGGGTGTTTCGTATTCTTCGAGGGTAAAAAGTCTACAAAGAAATATTCAGTATAGGTCCATGTTTCAATTTAAATCCTATAATTTGGCCCGCCCAACTGAGGAATTTTAAATGACTTTGTGGCAATTTCCATTCAATATAGCTATAATTTCTCATTTGGGGTTCTCACTCAGTATCGGAACATTGTCTAAAAATATCAAGGTGTTGACAAGGTAACGCACTTTTTATACACTTCACCACACTATGGTACAGGGTATTATGCCTTTGTGCATATGTTTGTATCAGGCAAAAGGAAACGAGATAGACCCATAGTTCATTTTGAGAATATGCATAGAATTACTTTATGAGTCGATTTATGCATGTCCGTCCGTCAATCTGCCCCTCTGTTGGTGTTAAATTGTAAACAAAGTACAGGTCGCATTTATAATCCGATTTGGATGAAAGTTGGCACAGCTCATTTGTTTGGCCCAATGACGAACCCTATTAAATGGTGCACCAAAGTCCCTATATATCTTTCGATTTGCATGAAATTTGGTATAACGTACTGAATTGAGCCTAGATTGATGTATGCCAAGTTTCGAGAAAATCGGTCCAGATTTAGATATAGCTCCAATATATAGTTTCGACCGATTTCATGTAAATGGTGCACCAAAGTCCCTATATGTCTTTCGATTTGCACCAAATTAGGCAAAACGTACTGAATTGAGCCTAGAAAAATGTCTGTCAAGTTTCGAGAAAATCGGTCCAGATTTAGATATAACTCCCATATATAGTTTCGTCCGACTTCATGTAAATATAGCTCCCATATATATTTTCGTCCGATTTAATGTAAATTTAGTCCAGAATGATGGGTGCCAAGTTTTGTGAAAATCGGTTGAGATTTAGATATAGCTCCTTTTTATTATAGATTGATTTTAAGTAATTGACGCACCTAGGAACCAATAGGCTGGTAGGAACAAAACGTACTATAATTAGTATAACCTAACCCGTGACAAGTTTCGTTGAAATCGCTTCATATTTGGATATAGCTTCCATATATATTTTCGCCCGATTTTAAGTAAATTGGACATCAAACTCCTCATGTTGGACGGATTGACATCAAATTTTGCACAACGTACAAAATTGAGCATAGAATTGTTGTATTTTCTAGAAGTACAGGCATATTCCAACGGATGACCTATTTATATTTGTTTGAAGTCGATTTACATAATTTTGCCCCATTGTAACAAACGAATGATAGATTTAGATAAATATCATCAGCTGTTTAATATACCCATAGTGGTGAAGGGTATCATAAAGTCGGCCCCGTCCGACTTTACTGTTTTCCTTACTGGTTTCACTTTTTAATGTACGTAAATGGTCTATGAGAAACCTTTTTTGTTTACCAAATTGCATACAGATAATTTGAAGTTATCATTTTGAACCAAAGTTGGGACCTCGTAACATTTCTTCGAAACTAAAATATTGTTCAATAATATGAAATATCGGTGCAATTCTTCGGGTCGCCTCCCCCACAAAATGTTCAAAAATTTGCTGAAAATTAATTTTATAAAATAATGCAAACGTAGTATCCAATTTGAATCAAACTTTGAACAAGCTTTCCCTGTCATTAAACAAAATTAATACATAATATAGATTTATTGGATATATGTTGAAAATGAATGCAAGTTTGCTCTGAATCCATATACATGCTTTGAAATTTTTTTTTTTTTTTTTTTTTTTTGCCGACTGTGCTATATATTTTTATAGGCTCTTCAATATAACTTTCCAAACATTCCAATCGGTATGGCAAAATTAATAGAAACAAGTATATAGTATTAACTCATCTATACCCAAAATTTTTTAAAATATTTACCATAATATTTCCAACAAAATATCACACAAATATTTACTAAGCAAATGTATAGAATTCCAATTTAATATCTTTTGGACTTACCCAACATTTGTATTAAGAATTTCAAAAGCTTTGTCACGTTTGTTTTTTTTTCATAGATATAATGATTTTTTTTTTCGCTTTAGAAAACAAAAACAAAAGGATTCATAATGGATGGAAAGAGTAGTAGTAGTTGTTGTTGTTTCAACAATTATATGAAAGGATATTCATTATTATTATGGCATATTTTCAGTGGTAATATTTACAATAATATGACAATAGAGAGACAAATTTAAACAAAAAAAAAAACATAAAAATAAAGAACTTATACAAATTCAAGTTCTGACATATTTTGTAGAAGATAAAAATTAAATAATAAACAAATTTGTATTCTTCTTTGTTAGCATAATACCTAACGAACAAAACTTCATTTAAATAGTTATGAAGCACAGACGAAGGTATATTAGGTTCCAGGTATCCATTCT